CACTTGCAATAATTGTCATCATCGGCTCATACACTTAGTCCCATCACACAGCTGCGCTCCTCTCTGATCACTGCGCAGAGATTCCTCCGAGTCCTGCCAGTTGTTCTCCACGAGACGAGAGAGAAAATCGGCGCCAACATTTGCACTCCCTTTTATGTAGCGGATGGCGAAGTTGAACTGCTGAAGATACATTGCCCAGCGCATCAGACGAGCGTTCGCGTTCTTCGACGTGCGTAGACTCTCCAGAGGCATGTGGTCGGTCTCCAGCAGGAACTTGTCTCCGTAGAGGTAGAAATAATACTTTTTGATTCCGTCGACGACTGCCAGCAGTTCCTTCTCGACCGTACTGTAGTTCCTCTCGGCGGACTTTAACTTGCGGCTGTGGTAGGCCACGGGATAGATCTCACCATCCGTTTCCTGCATCAAAACTGCTCCTACACCATCCTGTGAAGCATCTGTTCGAAGGATAAAAGGTTTTTGAAAATTTGGCAACTGAAGAATGGGCTGCTTACACATTTTTTTCAGTGAATTGAAAGCATCCTCCTGCTCATCTCCCCAGCGAATCTTATTCGGAGCGTGTTTCTTAAGTAAGTCAAAAAGTGGGAGAGCTAACACTGCGAAGTTAGGCACAAAGCTACGGTAATACCCCGTCAGCCCCAAGAAAGATCGTACTTGTTTCTTAGTCGTGGGTCGTGGTGCATCTTTAATCTTCTTAATTTTGTCGTTCTGACAGCTTCCCTCACCAAAGTATGGCCAAGATACTGCACTTCTTTAAATCCAATTTCACACTTACTTGGCTTGACAGTCATATTTGCACACTGTAACCGCTGGAATACCTCCTCAAGGATCTTCAGATGCTCCTCGAACGTAGAAGAGTGAACCAGAATATCGTCAATGAATGCTTCCACTCCTTTGACGCCTTGCAACACTTGTCTCATGACCCTGTTGAATACAGCTGGTGAGTTCGAGAGTCCGAACGGAAGTACTCTGAACTGGTACAGACCTGCAGGACTGGTAAAAGCTGTGACCTCTCGACTCTCAGGGTGTAAAGGTATCTGGAAAAAACCTTTTGTTAAATCGAGTTTGCTAAAGAACTTGGATTCAGTCAGTCTGGAGAAAATAGCTCTTTGGTCACACATTGGTTCTGCATCTGTTTTTGTAATAGTGTTTATTTTCCGATAGTCTCCACATATACGCACACTACCATCTTTTTTCTGCACTACCACTATAGGACTACAGAAGGGGGACGTAGATTTCTCAATGATTCCCACTTTCCATATCCTCGATCTCTTTCTTTACTGCGTCCACTAATCTCATAGGTATGGGATAAGGTTTCTGTCTCACAACTTTAGAGCTAGTTAGTTCGATATGATGGTAATTAACCCTTGCAACCTTTGGTCTATCTGAGAATATGTAACTAAATTGGTTCAATAAGCATCTTAACTGTTTTCTTTCCTCTGGTTCTAAGGTGTCACTCACTTTCACATTATCGATGGTCTCGGTCTGCCACGATTGTGCAGTGACGGGTCCGTCGTCACACTCGCTTTCTGGAATTACTGCAGCGGCGCAGATGTACGTTGTGGTGGAAGTACTGCCGAGTTTCGAGGTTTTCTGCGAAAAGAAGGCTTTAACATACGCGAGATACTGCTGCTGTTGCAAAGACCAACTGCTGGCCCCTTCTTGTGTTATGCAAAGCTTTGAGTTTTGCTTCTCCACATCTCTCTCTACATAGGACGCACATCCTGTATCAGCTGTGAAGTATTCCTTCAGCATGTTTATGTGGAATCTTTTTTGTTGATTCCCCACTTGTGTTCAATAATTATGACTAGACATTTTATCACGACATCATAAGGGCCCTTCCACTGTGCTAGTAACTTATTATGAGAAGTGGGTAAGAGGATAAGGCATTTATCACCAGCTTTGAACAGACGTACCTTTGCTTTCCTGTCGTAGTATGCCTTCTGCGTCTCCTGAGCTTTCAGCAACTCTTGCTTAGCCAGATCGCAAGTAGACTGAAGACGATTTGCCAGGTCAATGACGTAAGTGTATGTTGTCTTGACTTCGGTGTCTACTCCACTATCGTCCCACAGCTCACGCAAAATCTGAAGAGGTCCTCGTACTGTTCTCCATAAACGAGTTCAAAGGGGAGAACTTCAAAGAACTTTGGGGAACTTCCCTGTAAGCAAAGAGAAGTGGTGCAAGATAGCGGGCCACTCCTTTGGCTGCTCTGCTGCCATCCTCTTGAGCATCTTTTTAAGTGTCCCATTAAACCTCTCACAGAGACCATTACACATCGGATGATATGGAGTTGTTTTTAGTCCCTTAATCGACAATAGCCTGAGCACTTCCTCCATCATTGCAGAGGTAAATTGTGTCCCTCTATCACTCAACACTTGCCTGGAATACCGATCCTGCAGAAGATTTCCACCATGGCTTCGGCGACGGTGACAGCATCTATATTTCTGAGTGGCACTGCTTCTGGCCACCTCGTGCTGAAATC